TTATTCTAAGAAGATGTGCAAGATAGTCACACTATTATCTTGTTCTGTATAGGAAGTAATGGCATACTTACCCAGTGCACAACATGGCATAGGATATTGTCTGTATTACCAATTCATAACACAAGTTCAGCATGAAGTTGACAACTGCTCAGAATGTCTCCATGGGAAGCTCTGTGTGTGTGTGTGTGTGTGTGTGTGTGTTTCTATGTCTTTCCTCTTCCTGTCTGATGACTGATCGCTCTTATCTGTGAAGCATGTTGGTGATTAAGGTTTTTGTCTGTCGGCTCTTTGTGCTAATGATGTGGGAACAAACATAGTGAGAGGCACTGCAGAACATGCAGTGCACAAGTTTTGATTTTAGGCACAGTTATTTTACCGTCTGTGCATTCTAAGGCTGTGGACCACATTCTCCAAACAATCACTGCACTACAACATGTTTTCCCTTAAGACACTCAAGAGGCAGGCTTAAAGGGCACTTCTTCAGTGAATCCATGGAAAGCAGTTCAAGGTGAACAGCTGGAACACAAGGGTGAAGCAACTGATATTTGTTAATTTTGTCATCAGCACCATGTGGTGCAGCCATGGCAGTTAGAAACTGTATGACTGCATAAAAAAAACCAACAAGCAAGTGTGGTAAAAAAGTGGTAACAATGCCACATCTTCCCTTTTTCTAAAAGCAGTACTGTTCAGAGCAGCTACAAAGCCTCACCATGTTAGAAATCATTTTTAATGTGCTGTAGGTGCAACAAACATCAAATCCACATCCTTAGACCAGTACAGGAAATAATTTAACAATAAGAGCCAAACTGAACCTGGCAGTGAACAGCAACAGTTTGGCCAGGATGTGACCGCCTCCACAGTTCTCACCCAAGCATCAAGGCATAATTAACCACTGTATAGTGGAGGACAGTCATTCACACCACAGCTGTACATTGACAGAATAAAAAAAACAACAACAATATATTTGAATCATAATTATCCATACTTTAAAGGCTGTATAGTCAAAACACCCACACATATCCTTGTTTTTGTCACTTAAGGGGATCTTTAAATGGACTTATTCATTTCCTGGAAGCTAACCCTAACCTTAAGCATAATTACTTGCCTAAACCTAAAGCCTAATTTATGGTTGTTGAATCTAAACACAGCCTATACTGTAGGCTACACAAGTGACCTACACCACTGTGGGCATTTATACTTGTGTGCTTGTCTGTATCGCTCTGCAATTACACCAACAAAGCACTCCTTGACGGTGGGGTTTCAATGCCACTGTGTGGAGTTTCTTCATATCTGTGTTTAGTTTGTTGGTGAACTACAAACAATGGCGACTGAAACTGAGTGGGTCATATTGGAGTTGGAGCTAATACATGTTGAACAGAAGTTACTCTTACTCAAATTACTGCAACGCAGACAAGAGAGAAGACAGAGGAGAAGGAATTATTTTCTTTCTCAGGCCACTGAGAGACATGGATGACGAAATGCAATGCAACCAGTCACATTTGTGGTTTAACGTGGTTCAATTTCTATTGGCTTTTTGCAAAAAATAGACACCTGGACAAATATCAAAATGTCTGTTCTGGAATATGGTCAAGGTACACACACACACACATTTTAGGTAAATACCTAAAATGATCATGTGCTCCCTGTTTTTCAGTGGTGGAAGCAGTACTCAGATCCCTTACTTATTAAGTAAAAGTAACAATACAATAGTGTAAAAATACTGTTACAAGTAAAAGCCCTGTACTGAAAATGTTACTTAAGTAAAAGTATAAAACTATTAGCATCAAAATATACTTAAAGTACTAAAAGTAAAAGTATTCATTATGCAAAATGGCACATTTCACATTAATGTAAATCATATGATTTGATTATAATTACTGATGTATTATTATACATTTAATGCGATAAAGGCGGAGCTAGTTTTAAGTAGCATATATGCTTATAATTTGAATTATTGCTGGGTATCTTGTGAATTTTCCACTGCAGATCAATAAACCTGATACCACCATTGATCACAGCATCTTACTACAGAGACTTGAACATGTTATTGGGATTAAAGGAGCCGCATTAAGTTGGTTCAAATCTTACTTACTAGAAAGATTCCAATTTGTTCATGTTAATGATAAATCTTCCACACAGACAAACTGAAGTTAGTCACGGCGTTCCACAGGGCTCTGTGTTAGGTCCAATTCTCTCCACTCTATACATGCTCCATTTAGGCAATATTATCAGGAAGCACAACATAAATTTTCATTGCTATGCAGATGATACTCAGTTATATTTGTCTATGAAGCCAAATGAATCAGATCAGCTGGTCAAACTTCAAGCATGTCTTAAAGACATAAAGGCCTGGATGACCTGTAACTTCTTACTTCTAAACTCTGACAAAACTGAAGTTATTGTGCTTGGGCCTGAAAACCTTAGAAATCTGCTGTCTAATCATATAGTTACTTTAGATGACATAGCTCTTGCCTCCAGTACTACTGTGAGGAACCTTGGAGTCATCTTTGATCAGAATATGTCCTTTAAATCACACATAAACCAAGTCTCTAGATCTGCCTTCTTTCACCAGTGCAATATTGCAAAAATCAGGAGCATCCTGTTTCAAAGTGATGCTATAAAACTGGTCTATGCATTTGTTACTTCCAGGCTGGACTACTGTAACTCTTTACTATCAGGATGTCCCAATAATTCCCTAAAAAGCCTCCAGTTAATCCAAAATGCTGCAGCCAGAGTACTGACAGGAACTAGCAAGAGAGATCATATCTCTCCCATATTAGCTTCTCTCCACTGGCTCCCTGTAAAATTCAGAATAGAATTTAAAATCCTTCTCCTAACATACAAAGCCCTTAATGACAAGGCTCCATCGTATCTTAAAGACCTCGTAGAGCCTTATCATCCTAACAGAGCACTTCACTCTCAGAGTGCAGGTTTACTTGTGGTTCCTAGAGTACACAGAAGCAGAATGGGCGGCAAGTTTTGCTTCACCACACTTTCAGTCTTTTTACTTTCATCATCACTCACATTAGTTTCACCTGCTCCTTATTGTTTGCACCTGTTTTCACCTCTATTTAGGCAGCGTCCTCCCACCAGGACGCTGCCAGATTGTTCTAGATTCCAGCTCTGACTCTCCAGCATTTTTTTGGTTTTGGTTTTGGTATTTCCTGTGTTTGACCTGGATCGTGTACTTTGATAATTCTGTTCTGCCTTACCCTCTAACTTCGGACTGCGTACTGTGTATGATTTATCAAACTTCCCTTTGGACAATGCATTTTGGATTCCTTTGCTGTATGTGTTTGCTGGCTCTGACCTTGGACTGTTATACCAACCCGTAAGTGCGTTTTGTGTTACAGTGTCTTGTCTTGTTTTTCTGTTCAGTGTTAATGCTCTTATTAAAGAGACGGTTTTGTTGCACATATCCTCGTCTGGCCATTTAATTGAGTTCACCCACAACATATTCGGCTGCATCACGTGCCGATCCTGACACTTTGCTCTCAGAGTGCAGGTTTACTTGTGGTTCCTAGAGTCCACAGAAGCAGAATGGGAGGCAGAGCCTTTACCTATCAAGCTCTTCTCCTATGGAACCAACTGCCAGCCTCAGTTCGAGAAGCAAACACCCTCTCTACCCTTAAGATTAGACTTAAGATGTTCCTTTTTGATAAAGCGTATAGTTAGGGCTGGATCAGGTGACCCTGAGCCTTCCCTTAGTTATGCTGCTATAGGCCTAGGCTGCTGGGGGGGGGCATGATGCTCTGAGTTTTTCCTCTCCTTTTCATGGATCTATATGCCACCATTACACATTCACTGGAAAAGAGAATAGTTTTTAAACACACACAGGATGATAGCTGCTCGTCTGTGGAATATAAATCACAGCTCTACATAAATGCTAGTGACTGTTTTAGTATCACCCGCTTTGTTGCTTGTAAATTATAAAAACTATCAGTTCAGATGCTGAATTGGTAGTTATTATAACAAACAGCCAACTAGCACGTACGTTTTGCGCCTGCATGACAGAAATAACTCCCCCTACCAGCAGTTAGTGGTATCTGTATTTGCCATTCAGAAAAGGAAAAAAGAGCTAGAATATTGAAGTATAAGCTATAAACAAACCAGCTCATTCAAAACAGCTAGTTATATCTACTTCTAATTGTGAATATGCTTGATAAGAAGTTCTAAATGACATTGCCATTCTCTGCCCTTGGTCTTTTGGTTATGGAAGAATAAAGGAGTTTGTGGAGGTGAAAAACAAACTGAAACTGCTCTAAATGGGTGAAATCATGGATACTACAGCGAGAGGCTGAAGAACTTTCCTTAACTGTTCTCTTCTCGTGCCTTGATTCACTAAGCTCAACAGCCAATCAGAGTGGCCTCTCTCACCAGTGAGGCCCGACCACTGATGCCAATTCAACGTGTGAAATTGGCCCAAAAACCACTGACAGGGACTGACTAGTGCCAGCAGTGTGGGACACACCAGGAGGACAAGCTCTGACAGACGTTCATCTTTGGCCGACCATCGGCTTGGTGTGTCTCTGCCCTAAGACCTTAGGGAGGACTTTGAGATTCAGCCCTTATGTTGCCTTCAGCCCCTTTTATAGTAGTGCTTCTGTAAAGGACATGTGGGGGAGTGAAGGGGAGGTAGCAGTGAATACAGTATTCCTGTGTTTCAAACTACCACATTTTTTTGTGATATCACTGAAATATATAAAATTATAATGTAAGTGATGAGATCTTGTAAAATCTGCTTTCATTAAAGATGCTGGACTTCAAGTGATTTCATTGCTAAGATGTGCAATAAGTGTTTGACTCTATCTTCACCTATACACATTGAAACCACCCAGGTCAGGACACAAATGTAACTATCATCAACACCACCTCACCCCACCTCAGATCATGGGGCAACTCAAGTGCAGTAATCATAGTGCATGTGATATTGCTGCTCAGCTAAGTCCAATAAGAGCCCAGTTCTCTCCAGAGTCATTCAGTATAACAATGCCATTTACCTGTAGGGGACCCCTCGAGCACCTCTCCTGTGTAGCGTGTCTCTCTGAAGATGGGGCGGTTGTCATTTTGGTCAATGACAGTGATCTGTAGTAAGGTCGGTCCATCGACAACATTTCCAGTGAAGTCTGTTGTTGATACTTCAAGCTGTGGGGATGAAAAGATGAAAGAGTTTATTCTCCAAAATGACAGTAGTGTTCTGGATGTTTAACTTTTATTTATGATTATCTCCATAACACTGTAGGTGGCTGGTTCAAATTCTGCCAGTGTGCATCCTGCTACAAACACATCCCACCAGTCCTGAAAAAACAGCCATGGTTAAAAATGGACTAGCTTTATTTGCAACATTTGTCTTAAGACAGATTAACACAGTTGCTTTATTTTCAGTGGTTGGCAATTATTCTGGTTTACAGTAATGAAATTATTGGTTCCTGACCTTTAAAGTACCTACCGATTTAGTTTATTAATATTTGTTGTTACAGAACAGTTTGGGTTTTAACACTAGCCATGCCAATAACTCAGCCTGAACATCTACAGTATACATTGGTGCTATTTTGCATAAAAATTCAGCCAAGTCTCACATGAAAATGTAACATAGCTATGTTGGTTCATAGTGGAAAATGTAGTGTCACAACACCTGTAAAATTTTGGCAACATTTTTTTGTAATGCAGCCTAATGTCCTCCTTTGGGTTCCTCTTCTTTCGTTTTATGGCAGTTGGCAAACAACGACATGGCAGCACTGGACTGGAGTGTGGATCAGTAAGATAACAGTTAGTGTCCATTAAAGTTTTTTTTTTTCATGTGAGTGTTTTTCAATTTGAGTGTTTTGACCCAACCCAGGTTCTTTTCTTAACTTTAACCATGTAGTTTCTGTGACTAAAGTTAACCATTTTCTTTCATTTTTGCTGCCAGAAAGATGTTACCATGTCACAACTGGGCTGGAATATGGTCAGTGTACACACACACACACACACACACACACAGGAGGCTTAATTTAATTAACTGGTACATTTTGCATTGTGGATCAGTGTAGCTCTTATACATTTTGCTTTGAGACTGGGTTGAAAGATTACTTACTCCCCATTAAACTTGACAATATTGTGTTCTTATGACTGTCAGGATTCCTTTAAAGGCACTTACAGGTACATGCACAGTATATGGATTATACAGATCGTCTGTCAAAATGGCTCATCTCTACCTCTTTCACTCCATCTTTCATTGGCCCCCTTCACATGTTTATGCATTCTGCCTCTCCCTACTCTGCAGTATCCCTAGTCATCCTCCCTGCTCACATAGGGGACCACACCATCTTAGATATGCATAATATCCATTCAGCAAACGAGCAACAGTTAATCCAGAATGGGATTATTTGGTCAGCCCATCTTATTTTTTAACCTGTCTGTACTATACTACTTAAATGCAAATATAGCATTAACACATTCATCTTGAAAGAAAAAAAAACAGTAGTTCATTATTGTGTTGTGTAAGGTGGCAAATATAACTTAACTTAAAAGTACAAGTCACAAGTCTCTAATACAATATAAGTGAACTCTGACACACTAGAACATTTCAAAGACTTTGCTTAACAAGGATAAATGTCATTTTAGCAGAAATGACAAACTGATTAATGGATTTTTTTACTATTACAGGACATAATATTTACCATCTTAGTGGAGCTAACCTGGATTAAACACAAAGTACAGCTAAGATTGTTGGGTGTGTTGTTACAAGTATTTGACAAAATAAAATTGTAATGTGTTGACACTGATGGAAATCAGCACTAGTTATAACAAGTTATTAAAAGTTATTGCAGTTCAGCCTGAGCGGTACATGAATGTCTGAACCAAATTTCATGGCAATCAATCCAATAGTAGTTGAGACATTTTACTGAAAACCATAAATGTTATGATGGCGCTAGTGGAAAAGTCAGGGGGTCACTGAACTCAACAGGATTCACCCTCTAGGGACGATGGATGTCTGTACAAAGTTTCATGCCAGTCCACCCAAGAGCTGTCCTGACGTGAAATGGCTGACTGACATGACCATCCCTGGAGGCGCACGGTCACCTTGCCTAAAGATATAAACAGACATGTACATAGAGCTAAAGATATTCTCTGTATTAATAACTGACTCATAGTACTTGCAATGTTGTTGTGGCATTGTTGCCACAATTTTTAGGTAGTGTTATGGAAAAATTAAAATAATCAAGTCAAGAACACGAGATTAGATTTTCATGAAAGGGCTCAGTGCATTCAAAAATCAGTCATCAGCAAAGTAAAACAAGAGCACTTCCTATTTATAGTCTTGCTATCAAAACATGTAGATATAACATCCTTGTGTAGAGAAAACTGTAGCCTTAGATTTCCTTTATCAAACTCTTAACAAAGATGCCAGCGAGACAGTAACACTGAACACACAGGTCAGAGGAAGACTTTCTTCTCTCTACTGTAGGAGTCTTAATAATAGTTTAATCAGAATCAAAGATGAAAAGCAGCTTTTGATTAACATTACACTTGATTTATAAATGCTTCATAATGGATTTCATATAATTTCCACAATTTCCTCTACAGTGGAGACAGAAATAGTTTCAGGTTCAACACAACACACTTGTTTCTCTTGCTGAGCTTCACTTGCCCTAGGCAAGTGGCTGGTCAGATGCCAAAACGCAGTGGAAGCATGGAAAAAAAAGCTGCAGCTCTGCAGCTCCACTTCATGCAGAGTGCTTTCCTGATCATCAGTGGGAGCATTCAAAACATATTTTCTACCTGAATTCATTAATAATGTTAATTTAATTTAAATGGCTTCCTTCCAAATGAAACCATATGGTTTTTAAGAAAGGTTTTCTCAGCACTGTTCCTTTTTGTTTACTGAGACCATAGAGTACCAATCCATGCCTCAGAAAGAATGTGGTATCACTTTTTGAGTGTGATATGCAGCACATTTGGGTACAATGAATTAATAGAGGCTGTTGACCAGGAAAAATACCACATGCACATTATTCAAAACTGCACATCAGAGTGCTTGTGACTGGACACATATTAGGGTGGATGTTGCTAGTGCTGACTGACACAAAGCAATCCTATCTGCAGTTGAGGCCGCGCCCTATGAAGTCAGCAATCTACTGTATATCCTATAAAGACACCTGATGTAATGACATTACCTCCATTTCAGTCTTAATCGTTGGCTAAAGAGATCACTTCATTTATTAGCACTCAAGCAGTACTGTGGAGGTTCATCTGAGAAAGAGCGAGTGAGCGGGAAAAGTTCCTCCTTTATCTGGGCCATCACATTACCAGCCTTTCCTTTTCCTATCAGTAATGCATGACATCATACAACGTCTCTATCACACAGGTCATCCCACTCCTCTCCCACTATCTCAGACCTTTTGTCTTCCTCTTCCTTTGTCATCCTATCTCTTCATCTCCATGGAGTCTGGAGCTTATAGTGTAATGGCAGTAATGGCGCACATGCAGCTGAACTAAGTGTGTTAGAAGCCTAATGGTTTCATATATCACTGCAACCTCCTTTTCTCTCTCAACGCCTTGAGACTATACCATGAGAGGCTTTTCATGAGCGGGGCCATTTTCCCTTCGGTCTCTATGCTGCAGAAGCGCTGACTCTCAACTAATGGTGTTCTCAACCCAGCATGTGTTTGCATCCTATGCAATGAACTGCTCACACACACACACACACACACATAAATGCTAAAAGACATACTATATGGCTATAACAAGCATAGAAGAATCTGCGTAGCAAAATAAATAAATAAATAACTGTCCTGTCCCAACAAGCAAATGTATACATCTTTGCTCACTTACACATTAACACATGCTCACATTCAGCTTTTTTCTCTGCATGTCTAACCTGTAATAAGAACAAAAGGTGCCTAGTGTGAGATCATCTATACAAATAATGGAGCAAAAACCTGCTCTCATTTGTATCAAAAACATATTCTGTCACAAAGCAAAGAAAATGGTGTGCTCCTTTAAAGACAAGCATGAGCAATTGACTTTGCATTGAATTTGCATGGCTTTGTTTGAATTATACTGAATACTATCTAATAATAATAAATGTCATCACTTCCATACAACATACTGTACAGTATTTTGGGTATTCACACTGAAAACATGAAAAAAATTGCATGCAAAAACATTACACTACACTAGGATATAAGGTGAATTGGATTGAGTTTTGACTCTCAGGTAATGTGATAACAACAATCATCTGTTTTAGTGAACTTGTTTCAACTAAATATTACAATATCCACAAACCTCAGCAGCCAGTACTGTGGAAGGGTGGATCAGAGATGTAGCCAATTTTAAAAAAATACTTTTTTTCTTTTCTTTTCTTAAAATCAGTGCTATAGTTGCTATTCATCCAAGACTGATGCATAGTCAGAAATTGACCTTATATAAGGTGTAGCTTGTATTTGGATTTTTCTAACCATCTGAAAGAGAAGGACTGCACACAGACATGTTCTTTCTTTCTTCAATATTCAAACAACATAATGTTGAATAAAACCCCAGTGTTTAGGCTTTTGTACTGATAATTTGAACCAGAGTTTCATGCCCACTCAAGCCTTGGAAGTGCTCCAACTCTAAAACATTTACAACCCCAAATCTGAAAAAGTTGGGATGGCATGTAAAATCAAAACTAAAACTGAAAACAGTGCTCTGTAAATCAGCTTTGTCCTGTATTACATTGAAAACAATATAGCAGCACATTACGTGATGTGATACCTCATCAATTTTATTCTTTGTTCAAAATAAACACTCACTTCAATTCTGATGCCTGCAACACATTCCAAGAAAGTTGGCACAGTAAAACATTTACGACAGTGTGATGTTGCTGTTCCTTTTCGCAACACTTAAAATGCATTTAGAAACTGAGGACACCAAGTGTGTCAGGTGTCATTCTGTCCCATTCTTCCTGCAATCAAATCTTAAGGTGTGCAATAGACCTGGGTCATCATTGATGCAATTTCCTTTTTGAAATGTGCCACACATTCTCTACTGCAGACAGGCTGGGACTACAGGCAGGCCAGTCCAACACTTGCACCTCTTTCCTCCACAGCCAGGCCTTGGTAATGTGTGCAGTATGGGGCTTTGCATTGTCTTGTTGAAATATGCATGGGCATCCATGGAAA